TTTGTTGCGATGGGGGCGGCATAGAAATGTTTTAAATAAATAAATAAAATAAACCAGACTTAAACACAATGGAAACATGGAGGAGGAGTGGGGATACCCCATGTGCCCCGATCCTTGACTGTGCAGGCTAAAACCAGTGGGAGTTCTAGGCCAAAACACCTGCAGGGCCAGAGTTTTCTCACTGCCGCCGCAAAGGTTGGGTCACTGGTCAGGAAAACCCACACGAAAAGCCGATTTGAGCAGAAGATGCTTGCTTCCTGCTGACTGGGGAGAGTTCCGTGAGCTTGATGCTGCCCCAGCTTCAGTACAAGCAAGGCGAAGGGTGGTCGTCACTGTCCATAAAACCCCCGTAGCAGAACAAGGTCTTTGGGCTGAGATAGCAGGGCTGGAGGCAGTCGCTCGAGCCAGTCGGTCACCTCAACACGGCCTTCGGTTTGTACTGGCAGCGTGGCAGATGCCGTCTCGAAGCCAAGAGCAACCTGCTTTTGAAGGGGGACCATTGAGAGTCCAGAATGGGAGCACGGGCTCAGGAGCAGCGCATAGCATTTGAAGGCAGAGTAAGAGGCTGCTTCCACCCTGGGGCATCTTAGGGTGGGTGCCGCTGCAGAAAAAGCAGGCGGCAGAGCAACAGGGGAGTTTTGGGTGGTGAGGGCTGTTGTCGCGGAGTCTCACAATCGCTTGAGAGGCCGAGTGCCGTAGAATGCTGGGGAGACGCGGAGGCGTTCTCATAAGCTGCACCCATCTCTAGGGCGACGGTTTCATCTGGGAAGCTCTCAGGAATCCTCTTCAAAACAGGTGTGGTTAGGCCTGGGGCAAGCAGCATGTGACTCCTGTCGGTTGGTGCTCCTACCCTCTTTCTGGTGTAGGGTTAGGGTCAGCAGCCTCCAGGGGCCCAGGTGCAGTCCAGCCCTCGAGGAGGGGAATCCTTCGAGTGGAGCATCCCGTGCCGAATCTTCCCCACACACATGCAAACGCCTCAAAACGGAAGTGTGTACGGCCAAGTTCTTAACCCTGCAGGCTTCCTGCTTCACAGCTCACAGCAACCACATCACGCTTGTGGTTCATCGTTGTGTATCGTTTAGCCTTCGTTTCCAGGGATCTTAGGGCATGAAAACTATACCTGGGTGTCTTTTCAAAATGGTGTGAGTACAGCAAGGAGTAACTCTCCGGCTACTGAAATCTTCACGCGGGTGCATGGTGCATCCCAAGGAGCCCCTTCACCACCGTGTTTGACGAAAGTGTTTGCTCCGGCCATAACAGTTTCGAGGAGGGCACCAAGGAGCAGAAGAACCTTCCCCGTGTTTCATTTTGACCAAACGTTAGCCAATATGAGCTAGAAGCAGGTAGAAATGTGACATCTGGTGCATTCGTTCTGATTTGAAGTTTCCTCTTCCCCCCCCCCCCCCGTTGGTTTCACTCCTAGATGAGCGGGACGAACGCAAGCCCTGGCACACCCAGCTGCGGCGAGCAAGTCTCCATGGAAACAGACAGCAGTCCGTTGCCAGCTAATCCTTCTCGAAAGAGGCACGGGGCTCTCCAGACCAGTGCGGCGATGAGAAATATCCGTATGCAGGCCAGCCGGGGCCCGAACTGGAAATTCTGGAAAAAAGCAAGCACAAGCAAAGACAAAATGACTTCGTAAGGGTGAAGAGTGCAGGAAACCTTTGAGGTTTTGCTAGCAGTGAAAACCTTGGAGGGAACGGAAGGGGCGGCTCAGAGCAGCGCGGCTGCGCGGGAGAAGGGTGCTGTGGAAGCTTAACTGTTTTCTGCAGTGAGACGGTTTGGTTGAGGAATGCACCCTGCCGGGTAGATGCAGGCCTTCAGAGGCAGGTGGGAGCAGCCTGTTTTTTTCTAGGCCAGGCTGCAGTGAATTAATGTAGGCCAAGTTTCTAGACATCGGGGGGGGGGGTGTTCCTGGACTATTTATTTATTTATTTATTTATCCATCCATCCATCCATCCTGCTCTGCTGGATGAGCACCAAGCTAGCTATAATGTGGCCTTAGATCAACTGGTTGCAGTTGTGCTATTATTTTGGGACAGAGGGGGGTTTGCCACTGCCCTTTCCTTTTCTTACTTTTTAATTTTAAAAGTGGCCAGCAGGTATGTCTGAATGCTGCCCCCCCCCACTCCCTCTGCTGGGGTACAGAATTCGGTACCTGTACTTTGTGTGCCCCCCCCCCCCCCCCCGGTGGGGGTGCTTTTAATTTTGTTAAAGTTCTCTCTCCGTATCTTTTTGGTTGTTCAGTTAAATGGCAACTTGAGCCAAATACCTCGGGAAGCAAGTACTTCGTGCTGTGATAACTTACAACATAATACCATGTTTAAAAATAAATGCAAGATTTTGGAAGTTTTGGGACATGAAGTGGGCTCCATACGCAGAGTTCCTTGAAACACAGAAAATTCAAAACGCCTTAATTGCGCAGTCAAGTTTTTCCCTTTGAGTTGGACTTTTCCATAGGCTTCATTTGTGTTGTTTGTGTTTCCTTTGCTCACATGGTCGAAGCCTCTGTCAGCATGGCATTGCAAAAGATAGCAGAATTGGAGCAGATCTGGCGTCTGCATCCCATTCCACGGGGAAGCCGCCCCTGCCTTGCCACACTGAGATGAACAGAGCTGACAGGAGAATGGCAGGGTTCCCGCACAGTTCTTGTTCAGTTCCGTGGGGCTTTAGTGGAAGAATTTCCTGGCAAATTGTGTCTTGGATTAGCACACTTAGAGGCATCAGCTGAATTTTCCACTGCAGGCGTGCAAACGCCCTGGCCCCATCCTGCCAGCACACAGATTCAAATCAACCTTTTAACTAGGAATAATATGTTTATTCTTGGCTCCACTTCAAGTAACAGGGAGAGAGAAGGACAGCCTGCCTGGAAGCCCTTTGCCATTGCAGCACCAGCAACAGGGAAGGGAAGATCTGTGCAGAGAGATACCATTGCCTGAATCAGAAGCACTTTGAGCAGGATTCCACCTTCCATTCATTCGCAGCCTTGTTGACATCCTGTTTCCATAGCAAACACCCCTTGTCTCTAGGCTTGTGAGCAGCTTCAGTTCCTTACTGATGAGGAACAAAGGGTTTTTTTAGCGCGATTGCTAAATATTCGATTCTGTTTCAAAACCGTAAATCCAGTCTGGAACCTCCCACAAGAGACATACTTTTGCAGTGAGTCATGTGCTCGATAACAGGGTGAGGCTCTCAGCCATAGTTCACTGATTGCTCAAAGGAAAGAAAGCTGTTCGGGCATTTTTTCAGCCTCTCTGAAGTCCACCTTCTTCTTCTGACTGCATAATTCATGCAAACAAGCCCTGTTTGAAGTGCAGTTGGATGGCAGCCTTGTAAAAGTTAACTAGGGTTACCCCCTGCTGATTCTCCTTGATTTGGTGGAACTTCATTACTGCTCAGCAGTGTAAGTCAATTGGCTGCTACAAGGAATAAATGGAATATTTTCAGTGTGGTAGCCACTCCTCTCAAGGGGTGTTAAGCAGGCCGTATGCATGGGACTATTTAGCCCTGGGGCGCAGAACTTCACTCCAGGGGCCCAGTCCAACCCTCCTGGGGTGCCAGTCCAACCCTCCTGGGGTGCCAGTCCAATGCTCCAGAGGCAGGTTAGTCTGAGAGTCAATACCTGGCCACATCTTCCCAAGTTCCAGTCTGGCACTCGGGCCACCACTGGCTTTCCCGAGGCTTAATTATCCGCCTCAAATGTGTTGAGCTCAGATAACCAAGGCCAGTGTTTTGGCTGTGCCTCATTTTGCCATTGCTTCCTCCCCATTCCTTCAGCTTGTGCCCAGAGAGCACATGGGCTCTGGCGATGAAGCATCGGCACACAAGCACGTTAAGCACCTGGGTGAGGAGACGGTAAGTGCTATTTACTTATTAAATCACTTCAGGCAATCATTTGAGACTTTCAGATCATCAGCAGAAGCAAAACATGAGCCCGGCAAAGAGGGATAAATCCCAGTGCCCTTCACAAATGCACAGGTCCAAGCTGGGTGGAGGAGGCTGGGGGAATCCGCCAGCAACTTAACAGCAGGGCCCTAACAGATTGCCAGGGGGCCGAAGAGAACAACAATGCATTCTTAAACCAAGCCCAGGCTTAGAGGGGAGCAAAAAAAAAAAAAAATGTAGCTTTGTAGTGATGAGATCGTGTGCAGGCCTAGATGGTGAGAAGAGAGCTTATAAACCAAAAGCACTAGGCTAGCTTCAGTTGCCTCAGATGTAAGACCTTATAGATCAGCCCATGCAGAACAGACTCCCTGGAGTCACCCCTTTGGACCTTGACATCCCTGGAGCGCCTGAACCACACACTTTCTAAATTGCCTACCCTTGGGCAGTTTTCCCATCTTGAAGTCCAGTTGACTATTGCCTTTTCCCTGCGTGAAAAATTTCCCCTTCCAGGGGGCCCAATTCTGGAAGCTAATGCAGACTGCGTAGTTCAGCTGCAAACTCCCACTATTTTTGAACATCAGCACTCATTGGAACAGTTCTGTGTAGTCTCCCTAGCGAGATCATGAATTCTTGGGAATACGTGCATGGACTTTTAGCCAGAGACAACTGTGTTGCCCTTGGAGCAGGGCTCAGATCTTTGCTGGCTTGCCTGGAAGGCTACCGATTCCTCGGTTCCAAGAGCTGGGGGTGCTGGACTGGGGACCCTGGAAATCCGGGTTCTGGACCCCGCTTGGCCCCAGAGCGCCAGTCGCAGGCTTGGCCTCACCTACCCAACAGGTGGTCACTGAGAGGACACCATGGGGCGGAGGGGGACGAGGGAAACTGTTCTGGGTTCCTCCCAGGAGGAAAAGCAAAGCAAAATAGGCATGGCGACGGCCAATTTAACCAAGCTATTGTGAAATAGCCTGCACATTTAAAAGCCATTCTTACAGTGCATTTAAATTAATTGCTTCCAGGGAACAGAAAGTTTCCCCAAGCGATGCTGGCAGAACCCCCGTCGGTGGATTTCAGTGAAGAAACTGCTTTGTTTGCCTGGTGGTAGCAGGGTGGTAGCAATGTATCCCGTGTTGATTTATGCGCCCCGGGACCCCTGCGCTTGGCAGCAGTTCTGGGGCCATCTTAGGTGCCTGCATTAGCCTCGGTGCCATTTGGGCAGTGGGCGCCTGTGAGGGGACGGTAATCCTGGAGGACAAGACCCTTCCAGCATCACTCACTCCTCCTTGGGAAGCCCTCCTTGAGAACGTGCTGAGCATCTTTCCAGCATCCACTGAACAGGGTTCAAAAGCTGCTGGCTTGAAGTGCGCGGTGCAGTGACACCAAGAACCGCGGACTCCGCTGGTCTTGTGGCAGGCACGGCGTAGCTCTCGTCAGGTGGCGTCCAGCGCCATCGAGGCATCGCCGAGGTATGAGCCAGGGGACTTTCTCGACTTTTCGCTCTTTCTACCACCCCTCCCCAGGCTCAAAGACACCTAAGGGGGTGGGGTACTACCCACCAGTCTAGCAGACAACGGGGGTCATCCTGGCTGCTCCCCTTCCTCTCCTCGCCCACTTCCCCCTCATTCTTCCAGGTGGCACCCCAGGGATGCTGCAGCTGCTCGTAACAGTGAAAGGCAGTGCCGTTGCATCATATACTTTCAAAAGGGTGTCGCATTATTGTGGGAGAGCAGGCTTAATTTGGTGGCCCGATTCGGGTTTGAATGTGCACCTTTGCAACCTAATGGATCAGAGGAACTTACCAGTCTCTGTGTGAGTGCGTGGACACAGACTTGGGAGTTTAATTGAGGCAAATTAGTTGGTTTATCGGTAAGTTATACGTGAAAATAATACGATTTGCTTGCGAAGATAATATTGTAAATTCTGATCCTTATGGATGATCACAAAAGGCCCTAAGGAAGCAAGCAGCAAAACACCAAAGAATATACCCAGCATAAAAATGGAAGCAGAGATTCCTTGCCAGAGGAATCGGGGCCACTTCAGTAGGGCTTGTGGCCTGCTTGCCTCACCAGCCCATCGCGGGAAAGGGATGAGGGAATGAGGCCGGGCTTGCCGTTTTCAGTTGCCACCCAGCGTCCCCTCTTGTGCCTCAACTCGGCACTTCAGCCAGAGGAGGCTCCCTGGGCCAAGAACGCCACAAATTCCGGGGGGGGGGGGGGGGGGGGGGGCATGTCGCTGCTCCCCTTGCGTGGAGCGAAGGCTCCTTGCTTTGTGAAGAAGGCTTTTCCCTGCTCTGTCAGCCACGCGGGCTCAAATCCAGCTGCTCTTCTGCAGGACTCTGAAATACCATGTCTTGAAGCCCTTCCCTCCCCGTGGAACAATTGGTCATTGTTTCCTTGTGTCCAGCTTCCTGCTTCTGCCGCTGGCGGGGAGGGCGGGCTTGGGAGGGGCGTACTTGGGCCTCTGGCTAAATCATCGGGAGCCCCCCGGAGCCAGTTGGATCTGCTGAGCTGAGTGGAACGTGAGCAGCTCTGGAAATGAAAAGGCCTTTGTCGTCCGCTCGTGGAACATCTGGGGGTGGGCCGAGGCACTCCGTCGGCTGCGAGGTGCTCGGTCAGAAATGGGCAGCGTGGGCGGATTTCCCTCTTGGGGTGTCTGAAGAGGACTTCTGGGTTTTCCTACTGGGAGGGCTGAGATCGTGTGGAGTCCCAGCAGCGGTTGCTCTGTTTCGTGGGTTGTAGCCAAGGCCAAAAAGAGTCTTGCACGATGAATGTGCGGATGGAGCGCATGCCAGAAAAGAATGGTTTGCCTTGAACTGGTGCCATGATAAATCTGTTTGTCCCGAAGGTACCGCAAAACCCTTCTGAACTATCAGCTAAGTGGCAGCCAGATGCATGGGTCATCCCATCCAGCGGGCTGCAAAACAGCTGGAGGGCACTAAGCTTGGGCAGAGGGGCATCCATAAGTGCCAGAGTGCTGTACAAATGCTATTGGTTTTTTGTTCTTTTTGCTTGTTTGCTTTTTTGTCCTCTGTAAGCCATCCAGAGACTTTTAGTAATGGGATGGCATGGACAAACTTTAAATAAATTTATACATTTTGATATTTAAACCTTTATAAAGAGAACCATAAAAATAGTTTTGCTGTAGAGAACTATATCAATTTGTACCAGCCAGGAAGGACATGAACGTTCTCTTCTCCTGCTTTTGCCCTGTTTCTCCCCACAAAGAAAGATGGAATGCACTCTTCTGTAGGCCTCCAGACCACGTAAGTGTCGGCTGAAAGCATCGCTTCTCGCAAATCAATATTGCTAATGGGCCTTCTCGGATGCCATTTAGAATCGGCTGCTAGAGCAAATGGGCAGCCTCAGCGGCGCTGGCTTGGTGCAGCTGCACAGATTGCGTAGATGAATCTGGCTCTCTATAAAATGTTGATGTGCTTCCTTGACAGCTGGATGACGAATGCACCATCCTTACCAGTAAACATCTTTGTCCATAAAATATCTGAGCTGGCAGCCAACCTTGCTTGGGACGGAGGGAGAGAGAAGCACTGAGGAGACCATGTCTTGGTCGGAAAAGTCCTTGAGCGATTCTCCTTGGCCCACACCCGGCCGTGGCACATGGGTGGGTGGCCGACCAGGACTGCCCAATCTGCTTTCAAAGCAATCCAGACGGGGGGCCCTCACTCTGCCCCATGTGACTCAGTCCACAGGCCGGAAAGGATCCACGCTGGGGCAGCTTCGCTTGCCAGAAGTGCAAAATATGCCCGTGCTCAGTGCCCGGGCATCTGGTTCCATTTCCAAGAGATCCTTCCCCCAGTCCTGATCACAAAACAGAGCTTTCTAGGAACAACCCCGTCTCCATAACTCTGCAAACCTTGGGCAAACCAAGGAAATTGCCACGCATGTTTGCAAAGGCGCTCAGCCAGTTTTGAAGCCAAGGTACTGCTCTGCTTGTTCTCGGCTATCTTTGAATCTCCCGTCTGTCTTCCTACAGGTCCACTTCGGGGGAAGATCATTTTCTTTATAGAGTGTGCCATGCCTTCTCCATTGATGCTTTGCACAAAGGGGCCTTTCTTGAGAGGTGCCATTGTGCCAGGCCGCTTCTCGCTCCAGTGTAGCCCTTTTAATGTTTGCCTGGAACCGGCCGAGGATGTCAGAGGCTTAACTGAGGTGTGGACAGAGCTCTGCCCTTTTGGCACAGACTGGGCCTTTATTCTCCGCATCGCTCTACACTTCCTTCCCCTGAGCCACTTGGCCCCCCATTCTCCAGTTTAGGGAGAACTTGTTGGAGTGCTTCACAATCCCTTTTTGTTTTAACCACCCGGAATAGTTTGGTGTCACCTGCAAACCTGGCCACTTCCCAGCTCATTGCTAATTCTAGGCCATCCAGGGAGGTGGGGAAGTGTTCGTCTCGGAGAACTCCCTCAGACGCCAGGTCTGCTGTGCTTTCGTCCATGTGTTGACCTCAGAGTTTGCTTCTTGCTCTGGGCGCACTGCATCATGTTTTAGACTATGACATTTACAGGAAAAGAGTTAAAAGAGTTTGGGGTAAAAGTGAATCCCGGATAGGAAACTGGTCCTCGGTTCAGAAGAAAATGATCAAACCTTAATTTGCTTTTGTTTCAGCTGAGTCAGGAAATGGGTAGAGCACACCGGATACCCCTGAACAAGCATCCTGCAGCTGTTACCCAGGCTTCGTTGACACACATTTCATTCATGCACCACACATGGAGTGGCTGGCAGGTGTGTTGTGTGTTTATTGTGGGTGTTCCTAAGCAACCTCTGCCACAGATGGTATAAAAGGAATTACTGTTTTTCGCGGTGTTGTGCACACAAGGCAGAGCCATTGTACAGTTGGGTGCTGAACATTTTCATCCCACTCCCCCAGGTGACTTTGTGGAGAAGTCGGGTGCTGTGGTGTGATGGTTTTTAAAGTACATTTTATTTTTTCTTTTATAAAGTGAAATGTCTTCAGAAATATAAAATAGAAATGCTTTCACAATTAACAGGATCTCGATCTCTCTCATATAGTGTGTGTGTGTGTGTGAGAACATATTTAGATGGCTTGTATCCTGACTTTCAATGGAATGAAAGTCCCAAAACAGGTCCCAGTAGGTTACAATAGCACGCACAAGCCCACCCCACCCCACCCCACAAAACCCTTCAGCTCTGCTGGCCTAGCCACAAACGTTTACTGTGATGTAGGGAGTTTTGTCCCAGTTGTTCAGATGAAGCAGATTTTTAAAATCAGAGTTTCATTCTACTTGAGTTACTTTTATTTCCAAGAAAGTATCTTGACTCCAAGTGAGTCCCACATGCATTTGCAAAACATAAAAATGGAGGTGGCAAAACCCTGGAAAATTAAGCTTGGAGGTGGTGGGAGAATCTTGTGGAGGGCCCTTTTTGTGGTGTGTGTGCGTGTTGGTTAAGGCTGTGTGTCAAAATGTCAGATAATTCCACAACAGATCCACGTGAGTTCAGACTTCTATGAATTCAGCACATGGGTTTCATGGCAGTGAAAAATGATGTGGATTGCACATCCTTCTGGACTGGTTTCTGGATTGAACCCCAGACTTTTTATGTGCAAAGTAGGGGTTTTACCTCTAGATCTCACCCCAGTGGTTGGCCCAACAGGATCTGCTGCTCAGTGGCTAATACCTGGGTACTTCCTAGCATCAAAAAGGGAAAACCGGGAGTAGCAATCCTTGCTTCATTGCTCCATACAGGGAACAATGAAGCAAGAATCTAACAAAACTGTTATTAATAGAGTTGTGTAAAGTAATTGTTAGCCAAGTACATCTTTAATTAATTGGTGATGGAAAGCAAATTTACTTGGTAGTGTTGACATTTAATAGCAGACTTGATTTTTGAAACCGCTTTTCAGCAGTGTTACCCTAAAGGCTATGAAAAAGACAAAGTTAAATGTGGCTCAGGTGAAAAATGATTCCAGCTGCTCTCTGTTTGCACCTGAGTGACCCCCCCCCCCAAAATAATGTGATTTACTTCTGAGTAGGACATGTCTAGGCTTGTGTGATTCATGGGCTGGAGACAGTTTCAGATAGTTTGCCTTTAATGTAAGAAATTACTTTTGTTCAGATCGTTTTACATTTAGCACTTTACTGCGTTTGAAAACAAAACAGGGACGTGGAAGTGTATTTTTGAGACTTTGTAAAGGGTTTGTGCTAAATAAATAACAACTTTAAGAAGTTGGAACATTGTATTGTTTGCAGCAGTGTCCAGGAAGCCGATTGGAGAGAAAACACCTACATTTGTTTTGTGCTCCGTTCAATCAAAAATAAGAATGTCTAAAATTTTGTTTTTAAACTGCTTTTCCACTTCTGGTTTTCCTAGTGGCCTATGGAATAAAAAGAGGTCATGAAGACCCCAAAAGATGGGGTCACCGTAAGCCACTGAAAACAAGAAGAGAAGGAACTCCTGATCCATAATCCTTTTACCCAAAGTTGGACCACATTTCATGTTGGGGGACCACCAAAGGGGTGAGAGCCAGGGAGCAGAACGGGCGCTTCGTTTCTGATTGCACCGTTGTGTCTCCTCCCTCGGGGTGTGTTTAACTGTGCAAAAGTACCATGGTTGTGTAACTCCAACAGAAGTTGTGATACTAGTAATATTCCAGGAGTATTACATAATTCTTGTTTATGTGTATTCCATGGACCATTCTTCAAGCTTATGATCCTAACATAAACACTGTTAATGAAGATGTTTTGGAATGTATAATTATCAGGGACTGCCCTGCATTTCTGAAAACCGCACACCCCCGTCTTCTTGCCCTCTTTGGGACTGTCTTGAAATTCGTGCTGTGAGTTTCTAGAGGTGCCATCTGAGAATTCTCTGCTCTGGTTTGTAGGTCTCTGGAAGTCAAATTTCTGGGTGCAGTGGAGAATGATACCTCTTCTCTCTCTCGCACACGAGTGTGTGTACGTGGCGTGTGTGCTACTGCATCATGCAGGGAACACTGCTCATTTCACTGTCCGCAGTTGGTTGTTTAGAACTTCCAAGAATTTTTCCAATCTAATTTTATACTTATTTTGGAATAGGCTGCCCTGCACGAATTGAAAAGCAAAAGAGGTGGTTTTGTTTTGCTTTCCACTGCTCTGATTTGCAAGCATCCGCCCCAAAGATTCATGGCAGGGGACTCACCTTCTAACACAACAGAGCCATGAACTCAGCTCTGCTCTGCTCTCCTTTCTTAGCTGAAAGAAACAGCAGAGTGCTGCAGCCTTGGAGGCTCTCAGCAGCTTCCATTTTGCTTTCCCACAGTACTTTGGATGTGGTGCTGGTGTAAGCCACTCAAATGCATTGTGGGGAAAAACATGGCTGTCTCTGGCGTTGAGCACTCTGCAATGTGCGAAAAATGGGCAGCCAGCGAGTTCTTGCAGTGATAAAGGGAGCTCCATGTATTAGTCTATAATTTAGTTTATTAATTAAATACCACTCAGCTGGCAAGTGCTGGCAGGGTGGTTTGTGCAATAAATACAATGAAAATGTTAAGGGTGGGATGCTGTACATTTTAGACTGGAAAACTACAAATGGGACATTTTCTGGTCTAAATGTGCATAGCATTGTGCTCTGAAAGATGGAAAATCTTGAACGGCCAGCAAAAACAGGGAAAATCAGCAATAGGTTCAAAGCCCGCCAGAAGCTGAACGTCTTGATCTGAGGTCTAATGGACGGAGTGAAGGCACCAGAGAGATCTCCCGGGGAGGGCCTTCCAGAGAGGGCGAGGCCGTGGCAGGGAAGGCGCTTCTCCTGGCAGACTCCCTTGGAAGGCTTGTGCAGAGCGAATCGCATGTCTGGAGAGGAGAGGTAAATAGGCGTAATGCCAGGCTCTGCCAGGCTCTGCGACAGTCCACTAAGCCGTCATAGCACACTTTACTGGGGGTGGGGGGGGGGGAGACACTTTAAAGCAGCTTTGCTATCCTCCATGGATGACTCATGCACCTTCCAAAGGGATTCTGCCGCACACACACAATGCTCCGATGGGGCGCACTGGTGGTGGAGGAATACAAAAAGCGTGAACCGCAAAGAAATTCTTGATCCCGGGGATTAGTTTGCTAGGTGGAGCACCAAACAAGATCTGTCGTTCTGCTCGTTCTGCAGGAATAAAGAGCTCGCTCCGCCGGATCACGGGCTCATCCCCATTTCCATGCCGTAAGGTTTTTGGCATCTGGCAGTGACTCAGTCCAGGCTGTTCCATCGAATGCTGTTCATTTTGCAGAATAAGAGGAGGAAGGGGGAGAGACGTGATATGGACAGGGCAGGTCTGAAAAGTAATTCACAGATTATATTTGTGTGTGTGGGGGGGGGGGGCACACCTCAAACAGTGTCAACATCCAGATGGCTTTTGAGGAAAAGTGAAATGCAGCTGGGAAGATGGGAGAAGAGGGAGAGTCTGACTTTCCTCACTATTTTTCCCGTCTGACGGTTGTTCTCCTTGCAGGAGGGAAATGCAAGCTGCCCAGCTGGGGAAAGTGATCAGGGGAAAGAGCACAGGGGAAAAGATGTCTTCTTTGTATTCCAGGCTTTTTTTAAGCACACTGGGAGTTGCAGGCCTCTTTTCCTGAATACACTTATATAGGATTGCACCTTTAAATGCCTTTCTAAAAAAAAAGAGCCAGGGCTGTTACAACATTTTTAAATGTGACACCCAGTTTCCATTATACCTTTTCTACCTATCACTTCTCCAAACAAATTTTATCATAGAAAACAATATATGTAATATGATCATGAAAACAGTGCTAAGGGAAGGCAAAGGAAAACAGTCTGGACCAATCCATCAACCAGAGAAGGAGCAGCTACAGAGTGCCTGCATGTTTCTTTCCTCTTCCCTCCCCATTCATTCTTCCTCTTGTATCATGTCTATTGTATAGTTTGGCTGTAGGCAGGGACTATTGAGTTTTTAATATCTGTATGGTGCTTATTAACTTTTAGGCACTTTATATGAGGAAATTAATAATAATCTAATTATCCACCCATCAAAATGTATCTGTTCCTTTGGACCTTCCTATCTCTGGAGGGAGGCAAGTGGCAACCGTGTTGCTTTTGGTGCGCCTCGAAAACATCTTTATTTCAAACAAAGATGTCTCCTTAACTGACAGGCCAATCTTTATTGCTATTCGATCTTAATATGCTGTTTATTCTTACTGTTATCTTTCCTATCATTCACCGCTGCAGAATCTGCCTAGATGTGCAGCAGCATGAAAAAGCTGCAAAACGCGACTTTAAAAGTTCGACTAGCTCACTTGCTTGGGCCTGGCAGAAAGGGGAGGGATGTTGTTCAGCTGCCAGACCCTGATGCTTGGGAGGCGGCGCGGCGATGCCGGCCCCTGCCTGGGGCACCACAGGCAAAGTTCAGCGTTTGCTCGCTCGGCACAGCAAATGCTGGGTTGGCGTCGCTCACCAGTCGGCTCCCCGGGCCTGTTCTTTGCGAAGCGGATTTAGAAAGAGTTCTGCTCCGTTCCTCTCCCCCGCCCTCACTTTTTAGGCCTTAACTCTGTTAATGGCTCGGCAAACTCTCCTGGAGGAAAATAGCCCTGGAAAAGTGTAACTGTGCTGCTGCTTTTTTTTTTCTTTCTAGTGCCAGCCGCTTTCAACAGCAACCCTGCTTGTGTCGCTGGCGAATAAGCCCGTTAAGCGCAGCGGCCTTACGCCCAGGTAAGCCCGCTTCCAGAATGGCGCCTTTTTAAGTCCCGTGCAAACAGGGCCTGGACCACAGCCTTGAAATGGAGCGGACCTTCTGCTTCCTGTTTTAGCGGCGATGCGCGGCAGGCACTCCTGATTCAGGCTTTTTTCCCCAGACGGGCTTCAGTTCCGTACTCCGGTGTTAATGGCTGGGGGCAGAGGGGTTGCTCGGGATTAGTTGTGGTCCGCCTGGGCGGCACCTGCGAGAGCGCGGGGATGCCCTGGCCCAGGTGAGCCGGTTGGCCCCACCACTGGCCAAGGCTGATGGGATCCCCCCCCGCCCGGCCTGCTGAAGAGCCGCTCGTGGGCCACCAAGTGCCCAGGCGCGCCCGCCCCACCGCCCGCGCTCCCGCCCGGCCCCGCCCCGCCCGCGCGCAAAGCGGCGCCCCCGAGCTGCCCAGAGCCCTTCCCCGACCTGGCGCCCGCGAGGGGGGCTGCGCCAGGGGCCCGCCGGGGATGCCGGGCGCTGCAGTCCGAGCGAGCCGGAGGCTCCGGCGGGGGGGGCGGCCCCCCCTGCCCGCCTCGCCCCAGGGGCGGCTCGCCTCCCGCCGTCGGAGCAGCGCGGAGCGGAGCAGCGCCGCGCCGCTGAGTCAGTGGCGCGGGGCTGCCCGGGGCTGGGCCGGGCTTGGCTTCGTCAGGGCGGGCGGGGATTCGAGGGGGCGGCGAGCAGGACGGGGCAGTACAAGAACCCCACCCCGCGCCCCTCGCCGTGCTCAGCCGCCGGGACTCGCGCTCCGCCGCCCGCCAGGTAAGTGCCGCCGCCGCGCGGGGCTCGCCGCCCCCGCGCTCCGGGCGGGCCGGGTGGGAGCGAGCGGGAGCGGGAGCGGGAGCGGGTGGCGCGCCCATAGGGAAGGTCGGGGCGCGGGAGGCCAGCGGCTCCCCGGCCCGGGCGCAGGGGCGGCGGCTGTCGAAGCGGGAAGCGCCTCGCAGGCTCCGCTCCGCTGCGCTCGCCCAGGGCAGCCGGGCCCCTGCGCAGGGTCCCCGGGGCACCTCGGCGCCCTGGGCCTCCGCCCCACGTGGCCTCCGCGCAGCGCAGAGCAGAGGAGGGGGCCCGGGCGGGGCCGAGGCCTGCGCGGGGGGGGGCGTTCTCTGCCAGTTTGCCCCCTCTCTGGGCAGCCCCGCTGCGGCCCCCTCGGGCGTGGAGAAGCCGCAGGAAGCGGATGCTCGCGGGGCCCAGCAAAGCATCCGGCAGTGGGCGCAGGATGGCGAGCGGGCCGCCCTCCCCCGGGGGTCCCGAGCCACGCTTGTCTTGCTCTGCTTCATGCCCGCCTCCCCTCCAGCCCCCTTCCTCACGCTGGGCCGCACACGTGTGCGCCACGCAGCACCCGCCCTGCTAGGTGAATGAATGCCAGAGCCTCGCGGGACCAGTGCCTCGCCCCCCTCTTCGTAGTGCGCCAGCTGGCTTGGTGACGGCCCAGCAACGGGTCTTGTCACATAGACAGCCTGGCGTCTTCGGAATGCGCAAGCTTTTCAGTTAGTCAGAGCCCTTCAGGCAGATTGCAAACTGACGCGGAGTCCTGTGTAACCCGCAAGCCTAAATGCTTCTGTGAGGATTGGATGGGGGTCTAAAAAGAAGGGTGGCTGCTGAATGGCAACTGCTGAAGGCGAATGCCTTCTCGTTCCTGAGCCGTCCCTCCGTTGCTCAATCCCTTCCTTGAGCAATGCCGTTCTGTGTCCCCACCCCATCGCCAGGGGTGGAAGTGCAGAACACACCGCAGCTTTTGAAGAACCGCACGGACACGCTTCCGCGCGGCATGTGCGGGAGAACTTCCCACTGCGCTCGGTGCGCGGTTGCTAGTACATTCCTCCGGGCCACGTAGGAGACGGGGATGGGATCCGGAAGCGGCCCCGAGTCTCTCGGCGCTGCCAGGACGCAGCACAACTGGCGGGGAAAAGCGAGCCGTGGAACAGCGCCCTGATGATTAATCCCCCGTGCATTTCCCCTTTTGCTCTGCTCTGCTCCGCTCGGCGCAGGGGGAGATGCTGCTTGCAGAGCGGGGCCTGGGCGCGGCCCCTCCCAGCTGCACGGCTCCGGTTGTGTCACGCCGTGCGCATCCTCACCCCCCCCCCCCCATGCCCGCCTGGCAGGTCGGCGTGTTTGCAGCGAGCAGAGCTCTGCAACTCGCTGTTCCTGCGCGGCCCTTCCCTCGGCCCCGCCCGTGCTCCAAAGCGGAGCGGAGCGGAGCAGAGCCGCTTGGCGTGTGAGCGAAACGGCGCTGCGTCCAGCAAGCGCCAGGCCTGGCTTCCACGTCAAAGCCATGGAAGGGCAAGAATAGCCCTCTAACCTTAACAAAACCAAACCAAACAAAACGCAACCACCCGGTGCCTTGGGTTAAATAAAAAGGTGGTCAGCGTAGGGGTAAAAGTAGCCGTGGGGGTGCGCCTCCCCTGGCAGGAAGTTGTACCAGGCGCTGGTGAGAGAGCCGCTTTCGAGTTCCCACCCTGCTCGGTGGGAAGTGTAGCAGAGGAAATGTTGAGTGCATTTCTTGGGGGGCAGCATGGAGGGAAACCCCTCCACCCCCCATGATGTCCCTCTATTGCTTTCTAAATACACCCCCCCCCCCCGCCAGGCCCACCTGTACCTCAGGCACCAGATGAGGACCACGCCTTTGCCACCTCCTGCTTGTAGAAGGGAGAGTCAGGGGTGTGCTGAGAAGCCGGGGAGGGGGCAGTGTCTCCAGACGGTGTGAACAGAAAACCAGTGTGGAGGGTCAGGGGCTTGCAGCTGGGGTGGGGGGGGCGGTGTGCAAAGCATGACTTAGCCACATATTTCCCCGGAGGTCTGTGGGCCAGTTGCTCTCTGGTGTCCTAGCCTACTTTGCAGGGGTGTTGTGAGGATGAAAAGGAGGGGAAATACCTGTGAACAGAGAGTTGCTCTTTTCTTGATGTGATTTCTGCACCATCCATCAATTTGCTTTTAGCAGTATTGCTATTTTATGATTATATAGCATTAAAGGCCTCCTTTCCCCCTGTTGCTTCCAAGTTTCTCCTCCCATTTTCAGAGCCAGTTCAGACTTGTGGCTCCACTTGTCTGGAAAATGATACGAAACTTAGGGCTGTGGCTCTTGGCATATTGCCAGGGAGTAAGTCCCCTCTTGCTTTCCGAGCAGGTTTCAATGAAGAACTTCTCAGAGCGGAAACCCCCATTTTAATTCTGGAGAAGGTGCTCTGAGAAAGATGCCCGAAGCACCGAACGTCCTGGCCATCCCTTGAAGCGATTGCTTCCTTTCGAGTTGTCCTACCTTCCCATCGAGTGCCTCAGATCCATCTGAGTGGCACTGAATGGGAGAAATCAGACTGTAGCCGCTGAAACAGAGCATTGCAGATGCTAGGAGAAATTCATAAAGATGCAATTAAATTCGATGGATGTCTGGAGCATTTGTGCTCCGTTGATCTGCAGGAAAGCATCCCCCTTCTTTCCCTGTGGAAAATAATTCCTTCTGCAAAAGCTGAAGCACAGAAAGAGTCTTTTGCATGCATATTTTGTATGCACATGTGGCCCCCTCCACACTGCCTTAACTGTAGGGAATGCATCTTGCATCTGTCCCTGGGGGCTTGCGGATTATTGTACAGATCGGTAAGTTGCAGTGAATCTATAGGGTGCAACCCTACACTTGTGTAGTCAGGGGAAAGGACTCCAGCCCAGGATGCCCCATCCAGCCGTGCTGCCCAAGCATACAGAGGAGCCTTTTCTGCCTACAGATGCCCAGAGTCATGTCCCTTGTCGCTATGATGGCACCACCGAGGTGGCCAGATGGCATGGGGGGAGACAAGCTGACGTGGGGCTCTCGAAGCACCGGGGTGTATTGGTCCCTCCTTGCCTGAGGCGTCCTTGGAGGCCTGCTCGAAATGGGAGCAAGGAGTGGCTGAGAAAGTCTGTGCAGGCCAGCAAGGCCAGGGGATCCGGGTTCAAATCCCCGCATTCACGTGACGTTCACTGGAGAGGGGCAGGTCTGGGGAGGGTTTTTGCAAAGAAGCGACGGATTGGCCACGAATGCACCCGGCTGGTGCCAAGCCACAGTAGGCAGGAAATATGGGGGTGTTGGGGGGCAGGGAGGAAGCTATGCTAGGCCAGGGTGTGAGCAGGCTCTGCCGAGGGCGCCCCTCCCCACCAATGGCTTTTTCCACTTCTCCCAGCTCGGTAAACAGCACCGCAGAATATTGTTTTGGAAGGATGCTGTCGAAGTCGCTTCAGGAAAAGATGGTGCCTTTTCCTTCCCTCCCTCCTCCCCGTCCTGCTTTTGAAGTTAATTGAGTTCGGCTGCAGAGGCCGCGCGGCATGATCTCATTTTTGCGCAGTGTCTTTGTGGGTTTTGTCTCCGCCGCCGAGGCCTGTCCTTTCCTGCAAACGCGTATTTGAAACCAGGCATCTTTCAGCAGCCGTGTTCCGGCTCGGAGAAGGGCCTTTTGGTGGGGTAGAGCTCTTGGCCGGGTCTCTGGGGCGGGGGGTGCCCCTTTGCTGCGCGCCCTCCCCGCGCCGGCCCTCTCCGACCGCGCCCCGGCCCACGTGCCCGTGGGACTTCCTTCTCTCCTTGGAGCCCTGCGCAAGGATGTGGCCACACCCTGCGCTCCGTGGCCAGGGGCGGCTTCCTTGGCTTTCTCTCCCAGCCGCCGCAGCAAGTTGGGGCAGTGCTTTCCCCAGCAGGCCGGGGTGGAACTTGGCAAGAGCAGAGCACGGCTGCGGGAAACTGGCTCACTCGTGTCCTTATTTTTTTAATGTGTTTAATCAATTAGCCGAATGGCTTTAAAAAGCCCCTCGTCAGCTCCAGACCGCTCAGATGAGCCAAGTGGTACAGTCAGTGCAGCTTCTGCCCAACGAGGTATCTCCACGTTTCCTGGGGTGGCAGAGACTTGCCTCTCCTGCAGCAGCTTTTGCAACACAACCAACTCACTCAGCTTACCCCCATGTTCAGAGGTGCTGGACTACAACTCCCATCAGCCCGCACGGCCCCAGTCTGCCTCACTGTGGTTCCCCAGGGTGCTCTACCCCTTCTCCCGCCCCATTCCTCTGCCCACCCTGCTTTCTCTCAACCACAAGTGGCTGGGTGCTTTCCCAGCGATTGCGCAGTTTTCCCATCCTTCGGAGTGGTTGGAATATGCCTGGCAGAGAGAACTGTTAAGCAGAAAGAGGCCAGTGTTTTGGGAACTCTTATGTTGTTCCCAATTTTTATTGTCAGTTTCAAAAAATCAACGCTAATCAAAACCAGGAGAGCTAACATAAACGATGTCCATGTTCTCAGAGGAAAGCCAAGGGAACCTTTTACAACGAACGCACATATATCACATACCCTTCACTATTTTACATATGGCCAAACATATGCAATTCTTAACGCACAGGGCTCCGTAAAGGCAGTCGGAACATGCAGGGATCTGCTCATTTGTAAATCGCACCAGAAAGCATTTGAAGGCCTCGCCTGCCCAGTATGTTATCCCCAGTGGCCGTCATTGGGGCGTTTTTAGGGTGGTCGTCATCTGCTCAACCTTTTGAGTGTCGGTTATCATACTGGGGCAACCCAGCCACAGTATTTCCCCAAGTCCTTGGGCTTAATGGCAGGTGTGGCACCGGATCACTACCTGCGTCGTGCTTTTCTGCAGTCGGCCTGGGCCAAGGCGCCCGGCCTTGATTTCCTTCTCCCATTAGCAGCTCCGCTGCTGTGCCCTTTGCCGTTCTTGGACTCGGGAGCGTGATGCAGCTGAAGGAAGGAGGTGCGCCTCTTTGTCTCCAGTCTTGACATCTTGGCTTGAAGTGCTGAGCCGAATGGAAGCTCATATTGCTTTTCCCAGCAGGAAGGAACAAGCCCTTGCATGTTTCTTTAATCTTTTCTGTAGGTGTGGCGCGGGATACCCAGCAGGCCGGGGATTGAAATCACTCCTTAATAACCTTCCATTTTTAAGCAACTTTCTATCTGGGAGGTGTGGGGTTCCAACATGAATTTTGCAGGGGGGCAGATGCTCCGGTTGAAGGGGACAGATCTGGGGGGCTAGGTTTCCCAGGTGGCCCCGCCCCTTTCCCCTGTCCCCACCCCTTTCTTTGGCCCCTAGTCGCGTGGCCACTTCCTAGCTTTTGCATTGCTTTTCCCTGGTCTGAAAAGTCTGAGGCTCCCCCCAAAACTTTCCTTGCTTGGAGGAAAAGCTTTATGCTGAAATAGGCTGGAAGACCGTTGGCTGTTGCTCCACCCCTTTTCCTTAGGCCCCGCCTTTGCCTGGGATGCATATTTTGGAGCTACCAAATACACATGTTTGGAGTTACTTGCTTATTTAGCACTTTTGACTCTTCTGTTGGGATGATGTAAGTTTTGGGCAATTCCATGGAATCCTGGAAGTTGGAAGGAGCCAGAGGGTTCAGTGCAGGACACCCAGTTAATCCTTCCCTCTCAGATGGCTGCCCAGTTGCTTCTCGAATGCCTCCAGTGCAGGAGAGCCCGCCACCTCCCTTGGTCACGCGTTCCATTGTCCCTTCCACACACGTGACTTGGATGGCGCAAGCATGTGGTGGGTATCAGAACAGGCATCTGGGCCTGTCCCTGGTGGAGCCTTCAGGCCATAAGGAAAGAGGCAGAGCAGTTCAGAGGGAACATCTGGTGCTTGCAAGTCCCACAGAAACCAGAGGGAGCTTCCCGGGATTTCCAGTCCTACAAGTTGTGCCTTTCTAACTCTTTGCCACACCCATGAGGACTAGAAACCTCCTCAGGTGGAAATCCTCAGAGCTGCTGTAAGAAGGCTCTGCAGTTCACAAGGTCACTGCAGCCCTGGATGTGTATGATCTTTCTTCTCTGGTCAAAGATCACTCCAACAAAGAGGGCTTTGCAGAAATCCCTTGTATGACTGCACAGTCTCTCTCCCCGCCTCCAGGGCTTGGCTCTCCTCTAATCAGCCTCTCTTTATTCTAGTGTTATGTGGCAATTCAACGACCCTTCCAAGGGTGTGTTCCCTGACTTGCTGGACTTGGTTCAGATTGTGTGTGCGTGTTTGCGCGTGCTTTCCTGTCCCAACAAGTGTTTGAATGTGGTTTTCATCTGATTTAGCAATGGTGCCCATTCAAATTCCCCGCTGGTGGCTTGGGTGCCCTCAAAAAGCTATTTTTACCGCCCTGGTGCAGCTGCTGGAGGGCTGGGAGCAACCCTGATTTCTCTCGGAGCTTGCACGCTTGGTGTGAGAAAGCAGGCGGCGTGCGTGCGAGGCCTCTGCGTGCTGCAGCTCTCCTTGCTGATGGGGGAGACTGGAGGACCACGTGTGGTGAGGGGTGGACTGGATGAGCTTCCCGGGCCCCGCAGTGGTTCCTCGGGTCCCCGGCACGCCCCGGCTGTGCGGCTCTTTCGGACAAGGTTGCTGGGGGAGACTGAGTCACACGCCCTTTGCACTTTCATCGAGTCGTCCTTCCCCTTTTTCGGAATCCTCTCCCTCTATGGCTGCGCTGCATGGCTCCACCAAATCGACCTTCCACGCTGTCCAGGTGTTTGGGGCCACGGCCCCCGGGGGCCGGTGGGAGCCCAAAACACTTGAAGGTGTCGTGTTAGGCAAGGCAGCTGGAGGCTTCCAGCGAGCACACCTTTGCAGTGAGCCCGTGGCAGAAGGTGGCTGGCGGCAGAAATATTTTTCTAACCTGAGGAATGCGGGCGTTCCGTCCTGCTCATGCTTGATCGGAATGGAACGGAATGGCGCGGCTCGCATTCCTCCACTCTGCACCCTTCTTAGAACAATGGTCTCTTCTTCCAGAAACATGGGTCCTTTCCAGGCCAGAGGGCCATGACTTCTGCAAAAAGCTAGATCATGAGCCAGAGGGGCGGGCGGGCGGGCGGGCGGGCGGGCAGCGGGGAGGGATTTCTGGGAAGAAAAACCACAGTCAAATCAGCATACATACTCTTATTGAACTGCTTTGCTGTTTTCTGCAGCATCTCCAGCATTACAGAGCTGCCAGCCTTACAAATAGGGCTTCAAGTTACTAGTCCACAAGCGTGCTTCCTGCCTGCCAGCATATGCAGTACCCATTTTTAGCCAGAATAGTTGTCTAAAGGGTCTCCCTCTAGCTGTTGGAGGCATCTCTTTCCACATCTGTCCAAAGGAGAGGCGGCTATCAATCGAACCTTTTAGATAGTTCAGTCATTTCAGAACTCTGATACCAGCACATGTCTATGTCTTGGTGGGTCTCCTTCCCACGCTCCTTTCGCTGCCACACCTTCATTGCTCATCTGTTTATGGAAGTGGCTCTTCCCGGTTTGCTTTGATCTTTCTGGCAGCCTTGTGACCCTTCTTTTGGTTGGAGAGAGACTTAAAATGATGCCAGTAACTTTCTTGAGTTTATCATGGATGCAGCAAGGGCAGGGAGAGAAGGTTCTGTGCCCCAGAGCAGAAGGGAACCTGTTCTCGGGTGCCTGAAAAGAACGTGTCCATTATGCCCAAAGGGTCTGAGGAAGCACTTTCCTTCCTCATCTTCAGGTGTTCCCCGGAGTCTTCCAGATGCTTCTTCTGAAGGCATGTTTGGAGCCGAAGCAGTGGCCGAAATGTGTTCAGCACAATCACGGTTTTGTTCAGGCACCTGAGAATATTTCCTCTGTTTTGGGTTAACTCTGTCCTGACCATCATAACGGTATTTTTTGTCTGTCGGGAGAAACAATCTACACGTTCCATTTAACTGGAAAGGTGCAATGCAGCTGGTTTCTGCAGAGCAGTCCATCTCCCACCTGGTGCCTTCCAGACATGTTCAACTGCAGTTACCAGCATCCTCTGCTAGCTTTGGAGAACTGGGACCTGTAGTCCAAAATATGCAGAGGACACCAGCTGGGGAAAAGCTGTAGTTAAGTTAAGCAGGTCATGTCATTTCTTCGTCAATCAAATCTATTAACAAAATGAATCCTCAACCCCATCTTTTGGACTACAACTCCCAACAGTCCCAGCCAGTAGGACTAGTGGTATGGGATTATGGGAGTCCAACGCATCTGGAGAAAGCTTTGGACTCCCAAAACTGTTTTCACCTCCTTGTCAAGGGCCCGTCTTTGCAGAAGTGGCAATGGGGAAGCCGTTGTAAGAGCCACAGAGCCAGTGTGGTGCAGTGGTTAGAGCACGGGACTGGGACTCAGGCGATCCGGGTTCGAGTCCCCGCTCGGCCATGGAGCCAACTGGGTGACTTTGGGCCAGTCACGGACTCTCAGCCCAACCTACCTCACAGGGTTGTTGTTGTGGGGATAAGATGGAGGAGGAGAAGGATGTAAGCTGCCTTGAGCCCTTTGTAGGAAAAAGGCAGGATATAAATTGAAAAATAAATGAAATAAAATAAATAAAGCCCCAAAGTAGGCACGGCATTTGGGCTGTAACGTCTTCTTGCAGAAAGCAAAAAGCAACCTGAGGGGGCTGAGAAGTATCAGGAGGATGCCCTGGTGAGGATGGGGCAGAGAAGGAAAGGAAAGGAGAGGAGAGGAGAGGAGAGGAGGCGGGGGGGTTGATACCACCTGAAGGACTGGAGGCCGCTGGCTCTGGAAAACATGAGCATCCCTATTTGGAGAGCTGCTCTCAGGCCACTAGCTGGCCCCTTTGGTCTGATCCAGCCCGACATTTCGTGCATTTGCATGACCGTAACATGCAGAGGATCACGCTGCAAGAGGCCGAGCTGGGAGAGAAGAAGCTTTCATGTTGCTTCTTCCACGAATCCACCAGGCACGTGCCCTGATCCTCAGCCTCCCTGGTGGGTAGAAAAGCTCCAGTTCTTGTGATGCTTGCAACAAGCCACGGGTGCAGAGCCCGTGGAACGCTCCAGCGTGATCCAAACGTGACAGAGGTGGCACCCGCCTTGCTGGTAACAATTTGGAGAGTGCAGCAAGCTCGGACAGATGGACCTGATATCTCTCTTTGTTTCTTCCAGCTTCTTCTCACGATGTCTACAGTTCACGAAATCTTAAGCAAGCTCACCCTCGAGGGAGATGTAAGTATTCCGCCATCATGACCAGAAAAGTTCAAAGGCACCTGCATAAGATGTCAGTGTTAGGGAAACAGATTTTTGGAATGGCCCTGTAATCTCTTCCTGATTAAGCCTAAAGGCTGTGCCTTCCCGGGCAGCCCCTGCCATTGCTGAGAAATGGGAAATGATGCGTGGCTGAGGAACAGCTGGACTTTTCTCCACTGCTGCCTCGTGTTGCTGCGCCGGCATCTCTCCGTGCATTCCCATGAAAGGTGGAGATGGCTGCTTACTGGGATGGCTGGAAAAAGGGATTGGACAGAGTCCTGGGGGATCACTTTCCTCCTGCAGAAATGATGCCACAGACCTTTCTCATGGGCCAGCTCAGGGGCACCCCTTCTTCTCTCTCTTCCTGTCCCGCGGTGGCGTCTGAATATGTTTGTTGATCAAACCCAGTTCTTTAAAAGAGAGGTGCTGCCCAAAGGGAGAGGAGAGAGACGGGGGGGTGGGCAAAACCCTGAGCTGGTTAGAATGTGCATTTCTCACAGAACCGCTTTCTGCTTGCCCCCCTCCCCCCACAGCATGCCCTCCCTCCGAGTGCCTACGCCACAGTCAAGGCATACGGGAACTTCGACGCCGAGCGAGATGCTGCAGCCCTCGAAACGGCCATCAAGACCAAAGGTAGGTGGCTGAAGGGGAGCCCTGCTTCTCCCGTTTTCTCTGGCCGGCAGCGGAACAAGATGTCAGGCATCTTGTGATGCTGCAGGGCTGTGGCTTTTACATTTGCGGGATAAAGGGCTGGATCTGAGCCCGTTTTGCTCCCAGCCGGGTCCCCGGCAGCTCAGAAGCGGAGCATCCCTTATGGCGAACCCGAGGAGGCCAGAGCCTCAGCCCTGCGCTCCTCTCGTCCATTTCCACCTGCACCCCGTCACTTGCACGAAAGGAGTAGAACTGGCCACTCATCTGGCTGGCCCCAAGGAAGCGTGGGCACATTCATGGGGGAGAGGTTGTTTCCACTGGTGGGGAGCTGGCCACCGTCCGGTCACGCTGACTGAAAATAATGTCACTGCACTTCCTGGTGAAGGGGTTGGATGGAGACCGGTGGCGTGGTGGGGCGGAGGCTTTCAGGGGCTCAGCACCAAGGCTGCTCCTCGTAGCTGAGGTCCCAGCCTCGCCTGTGGGACCCTCAAGCCTTCCCTTCTCCCTGCGAGCTTTGCTGCAGCCCCACTGAAGCTGCAGGGACCCAGACTCTCCCAGCCACAAGACAAGGTTCCCTGTTGGTATGCAAAATATTCCAGGGTGGCTTTTCCTGCAAGGGGCAGCTTTGGAAAAGGCTCTGCTTGGGGGAGTTAAATCACCCCCTTTCCTTTCTGGAAAACGGGCCGATCTTGCGTTTGCAGGACGAAGGGAAGGACAGCAAGGGTTTGTCCCGCTCTGCTCCAGTGCGGAGAAACCGCAGGCCAGTGTTTCCTTCATGACACATCCCAGCCGTGTTTGGATACCTTCGGGGTGGGGTGGGAATTTGCCCCATGGCTGCTTCTTGTACTGGGAAGAGCCGCCTGGAGGAACGCAGCGCTGGCACCTTTGCCAGCCCGGCGGAATTGGAGAGCCACTCCTTAAAACGCACAGTTCTTGGGAATCGTCTTTGCAGATGGTTCCGTGCCAGACAAACACAGGATGGGAAGCAAGGCTGCACCGGTGCAGAGTCCAAGGAGGGCACTCAAGCCGCCCGCTTGGAGAGCTGCTCCTGCCAGCCCCCGTTGGCCGCACTGGGCTGCTCGAGCTGCCCGGCTTCCCCTCCCTCCAGCAGCCTCCCAGCCGGAGTGACTCACCTCCCTGCAGTGACGCATCTGCTGCCATTTGTGGGAAGTATCCCTGCGCCTCAAGGCCGACCCCACGAGCGTTTGTTTCGTGGCTGCCGTCCATCCTGCTCCAGGAACGCCGGCTCATGGGGGAGGGCAAGGCCGAGAGTGGGAGGGCCTGCAGGCCCTGCGGCAACATTGCCCTCCACCAGGGAATTTTGGCACGGTCCCCGGGAAAGGACTGAAAGCAGCAGCAGCTGCCAGTGGTGGTGGCGGCGGCTGGTTTTCTTGCACAGCTCGGGGATTTTGGACTTTGAAAGAAGCAGCAGCTTCCAGTCCCCAGGAGTGGGAACGGGTTGTCATCTAGGAAATGCAGGAGGACCGAGTGCCACTTCGAGGCCTGGTCTTTCGCCTTGCTGTGCCTTCATGGCGTGGGTGCCTCTGAAGCAAGGATGTGCCCGTTTTGGGGCGACAGCGGCCCACTGGGTGATGTGCTGAGCCTGAGAGGAGCCTGGAAACTTGGCCCTCGATGGACAGGGCAGGGCAGGGCAGGGCAAGGCCTCCCAGGGATTGGGGCATGGGGAAATGTGGGGTGAATGGGAAAGCATGTGTGGGGCAGGTTAAGAAAGGGACCCTTGAGAGAGAAAACGGAGGCTGCTTCGTTTTATGGGTGCGATTTGTGGGAGGTGGGTGAGAGTTGCAGCCGATGGAGAGATTAAGCACGACATTGTAAAAAGCCCGTGCCTTTTAAGAGCATCGTTGCATCTGTGCTTCCGTACGGCCGATGCCTCCAAAACCCCCTGCACCTTTTTCCGCCTTTCTCTTCCGAAGGGAAGGACTCGGCCTCTTTGGCACAATTAAGCTCCTGGTCCGTTTAACTGCGATCACTTCATGTGTAAAATACAACCGTGTGGTCTGAGACACAGGGGTGGAATGAGGTACTGGGTTTTGCATTCCCCATATGGTGGTAGTGCTTCTGCTCCTGAGGACTAGAAGCTTCTGTCTTCTCTTTTGGTATTTATTTTATTTCTAGGGACTTTATGCATTTGGCAGCATATACATGGAAATATAAATGAATATAATTTCTAGATATAAATAAATTTCTAAATATAAATGAATTTCTCTACCACCTGATCGCTGAGGCTCTCTGAACAGTTAACAAAAGCAATGATTCCTCCGTACTCTAGTCTAGGGAAAGACTGCAGACCATGGAGAGTTATTTACAAGGTCTGCGCACCATTTCTTCTGGTGGTTATGCCTGCATGACCATTGGCTCCTTCTGGGTGGGTGGGTGGCTTGTTTGTTGTTTCTGGTTAAAGGTTTTCCTATTTTAAACCCGTCTTGGAAACTCCTTTCTGGGCACGATAGACGTAACCATCCTGACTTAGCCGTTTGGAAAAACTTGTTGAGACGAGGCCTGTTGGGAAAACAAGCTGGGGGAAGTGGTTGCTGGCTTCGCGTAGAGAATCCCACTGCGGACATCTCGTGTAAAGTATCCACACGTGTGCGCACCAGTATAATTTCTGGAAGTTGCATTGCTACAAGAGAGAGAAAAGGCAGACATAAGGAAAATGCCTCCCCCCCCCCCAGAGCTTTTCCTCATAATTGCTTCCCGCAGTCGGCGGGGCCTGGATTCGTCCTGCACATACAGAGCTTCTGTATCTCAGCAGGCCGTTTCGTGGCCGAATTATTGAGAGAAACTGCACCCGCAGGGCTGCTTGCACAGAGCTGGCGGCTCGGTCTTCGCTCGCTGGTCCACAAGAGGCTCGGATGCTTGCGGGAATGGTTTAAAAGCTGCCGCAGGGGAGTGGGAAAAGGCGGAGGCTGGCGGGAGGCGGGGGGGGCTTTTGCCTGCGGCTCAAGGTGGCCGGATCAGGGCTGGCTCTGGCCCACGAATCAGAATCCCCCGGCAGGTTCTTCCGTACGAGTCCTGCTGAAACCCTGGGGGGTGGCAAGGGCTGATTAGAGGGAGGGCAGAAGGGCATTTGAAGCCCGTGCCGTGCCGAGTGAGTAGTCTCTGGGGGCTAGGGAGAGCCGGGTTCAAATCGCCGCCTAGCTGTGGAACTCACCGCAGGACTTGGGCTCAGTTGCCTTTTCTCCGTCTAGCCTGCCTTGCTGGCTGGGGAGCCCTTTGGCCACCTCGAGCTTTCAGGGGGAGGGGGGGTGATAAGGCAGGGTGCAACAAGAACAGCCCTGCCGGATCAGGCCCTGAGTCCATCCAGCGAGCAGGATGGGTGCAAGACCTCCTCCCACCCAGCTGCTCTGCAGTGGGTGCATGCAGGCAGGCCGCCTCTGGTGGAGGAGGTGGCACATGGCCAGTGTGGTTTTTTGCCCTAGTATGCATTTCAGCAGTGGAAAATAACTAGTTTTTCCACCGTGAGCCCCAGGCATTTCAGGCTAGTCCTGCACCGGGGGCTGCAAGGACCGGGTCAGAGATGCCGTGGCAGGTTCCAGATTCTGCAGGGCTGTGAAGTACACGGAGCGCTTGAGCGCTGGATGTCTGTGCCGTACTGATTCCTTTTCTTAGAAGGTTTTGCGGACGTGGCTGCCAGCTCTTTGCAGGCTCCTGCTTCAGGCGCTGCTGGCGGCCTGCCACTGGCCCTCTGTTCATGTTCTCTTGCTTTCTCCCTCTCTCCTCTGGCAGGTGTGGATGAGGTCACCATCGTCAACATCTTGACAAACCGGAGCAACGAGCAACGCCAGGACATTGCCTTTGCCTACCAGAGGAGGACAAAGAAGGTACCGGGGTGGGGGGGGGCAAGCACACCCTACATGGCACCCTTCCCTGATTTAATGGCCTTAAGAAAATGTGTGGACTCTCATCATCCCCGGCAGAGGCCACCCCAAGCCAGGCCAGGCTATGCTGCATTCCATTCACTGTCTTGGGTCTTGGATCTGAAGGCGGAGGGGTGGAGAGAATTGCAGTGCCGGAGACAGGCAGAGCCCCAAGCTTGCTCGCTCGCTCGCTTGCTCGCTCGGTTATTTATTTATTTGGGATATTCTAGGCCGTCCAATCACACTGAGTCTCTGGATGGCTCACAACAGTTTGGAAACATCTGCTCTCAGGGAAGTGGAGCTTTGTTCGGGGGCTGCATCCAGACCTGCCTTCCTGGTTAAATGACTGGCGGGCATCAGCTGGATGTGGGATGCTGATTGGTCAGTCAAGAAATCCCATCAAATGCAGGGGCTGTGAGGGGTAAGAAAGAGGTGACAAAGGGGCAGGCTGTGTTTGCAGCCACTCCCCCCACCCCTTAAATTTTGCTGCAATTGGAATTCCATTTTAGAAAGAAAGAACAACCTCTGTAGACTGACTTGCCTTCCCTGTGCTGGCTGGGGCTGATGGGATGGTGCATGCTGATGCGTCTGGGGAGCATGGGCTTGGAAAGACTAGGCTGAGCAGCTTGGGGGAAAGTCTCCTGCAGATTTCATCAGACGGTTTCAGGAAATGCACTCGCCAGTTCAGCTGTCACGGTCATCCCCGGCTTCTCATTCCTTGCAGACCTCCCCTGGCCAAGAGAAACCTCCCTTTAGGCAGGGTCTTCAGATGCCGAAGGGCTTGGAGGCACCCTGCCAAGTGTGCAAAGAGATGATGGTCTGATCCCACTATGGAAAATCATGAGTCAGTGGAAGAGGAGCAGGAAACAGATGTAGGAGGGAGCGGCGTGCCCTGGACAAGTTCCCTGAGAAAGGAATTATTTCCAGTGGAATGTTTTGGAGGCTTGTAGATACTTAGTCAATTCAAGTCAACTAAGGCTAAAGACAATGGCCTGGAGAATTTTCCAGGCTGGGAGCCTCCAAACGACCCTTTGGCAGTGCGTGATAGATTACCCTGCAGGCTGGGCTGCGTTTATGCATTTGGTGTGAAACTGGCGTGGCGCTTGGGTCCATTTATCTGGACCCAACAAACAGAGAATTGTGCCAACTGTTCTGGTTGTGAGCATCATTTCTGTGGTCCCATTAGGGCCCTCGAGGGCCAAACCAAGCCTCTGTCTGGCCAAGCACCTTGTTTCCAACACTGCATAAGCTCTCTGGCAGAAGTGGTCCATATGGAACGGTTTACTCATGAGCAGGCCTTTACTGTCAAGGAATCTTCTTGTGTGTGCCCAGCAGCCCCTTTCCAAAGTTCTGAGTGCAGCTTAGTTGTGCCCTTTTCTCCAGCTTAGTTCAGAAGAGCGTTGGAGCTCCCCAAAATGTGGACCTCCTTACACCTAGGCGTGATGTGGAAGATGGGTAGGGAGACATTTTTCTCCCTCCTTCTCATAGTAGGACCAAGGGGGTCTTCCTGTAAAACTGCTTTGGTGGGAATTGGCTGACTTCTTGGCTGAGGCTTTGGCACATAGAAAAGTATCCAACCCACCTGAAATGGGAAGCTTTGGATCACTTCCGCAAGCTTTTGTTTCTCCCCCATGTATAGAGAAAAAATAATGACCCAGTTAAAGACCAGAATCCTCGACTGGGGCAAGTTCTGGAGATCGACCATGGGTCCTAAATGGTTGGCTCTTGCTTTCTCTCCAGGAACTTCCGGCAGCTCTCAAGTCTGCCCTGTCCGGCCACCTGGAGACCGTCATCCTGGGCCTGCTGAAGACCCCAGCCCAGTACGATGCGTCCGAGCTGAAAGCGTCCATGAAGGTGGGTGAAAGCAGGGGCTTGAGGGGCACGGCCCCATTTCTTGGAAAGACCCTTTCCCACGTGCCCCAGGGCTGGGTGCAGCCTTCGGTTCCGAGTCAGGGAGCTTCACATGTTTTGGCTCGAAGAGGCGAGCTCACATTGCCCCGATCCGCAAACAGGATCAGGAGAGGGGTCCCTGGGTGACCGTGGGCCAGCCACGGACTCTCAGCCTAAGCCACCTCACCGGGTTGTTGTTGTGGGGATAAAACAGGGAGGCCACGGTGGGTTCCTTGCAAAACGAGCAAGGAGATGTCATGTGATAATCGTAGATCGCTCAGCTTCCAGTCGCCCCGGTGAGCTCGGTCTCTAGTTTGGATGTTCCCCTTCAGTCAGCCATAGCCACATGGCCAGATGCTGGAAAATGTCTGGAGCTGCAATCCGAAAGATCTGGAGGTTGCCACACCTGGGAAGAGAGATCCAGTTTCCTTCCTTTTCCTGAAACCGCTAATTCATTAATGCTGCACCTGAGTCGTCAGTCCAAATGAGTCTCCTGGCAGCGCTTCTCCTTGTGCAGGAATATCCGCTACCCTGGGTCCCTTCTTCCCAAGGTCCTGAGCCCCAGCTTTTCAGCCCTGACTCCTCCTAAGTTTTCACACCACGGACTTGCCCCCCGCTCTGTTCCCCCCACCCGCTAACGCCCCAGAGCAAAGCTGCCCCCAGGGCTGCCAGCCAGTGGAAGCCAAGCAGGCATTCAAATAAAAGAAAGCAAACCCGCTGCTTCCCCGGCCCCTCTCAGAACCCCACCCCAGAGCAGATGCCAAGCTGGTGGTCTTCTGCCGAGACTCGAGGCTCAGTCCTGGTGCGAAGCGGTTCTGGCATACCGTACGGTTGTATGAACATCACAGCTGTGTGCAGCTTTTGATCTATTTCTGCCCTGACCCACAAGGCTGGATGGGCCCTGCCCTTTGGCCTGCAATCAACGGGCTGCTTATCTGTTTATCTTCCTAAACTTTGTTCCTAATCCCCAGTGTGAATGAGGAGTGGCAATCTTTGCGACTTCTTCCTTCTCTGTCCAATGCTGCCCTCTGCTGGCATTGAACTTTCCCGTCTCCAAATGTAGCTGAGCTGGCCAGGGGCCATAAACGATCTCCCCTCGATCGTTCACGGCCAGCGTGCAGAGCCAGCCTTTCTGCTCCCAGCCAGGTTTAGCTTTCGCACCCAGCAGGGAGGGTGTGCGTCAAGCATCCAGCCGAGCACCTGCGTGCAGCCCTGATCCGGCAGAAAGCTCTGCTGGGTACCTCAAAGGGGCATTTTCCTCCCATCTCATTGCTGGCACTCCAGAGTTTCTCTGTAATGCAAAAACAGGGAAAACACATGCCTTCTGTGGCTGGAGGCCATTCGTTTATCAATTATGGATCGATTCAAAACCTCCTTCCTCTTTGAGACCAAAATAAGTCTTGCTCATGATGTTCTTTTCCTAAAAGTCCAACATCCTGTGGCCAGGGGACCCGTTTCGTGTTGTTTTCTGGGGTTTATCGTTTAGCTGTCCAGCCCACAAGCTTTGCAAGGCTGCAGTTGCAGCCTGGGGTAGGAAGGGCGCAATTGACAAAGTTCTTCTGAAAATGTTGTTCGTAAGCCTGTTCTAAGAGACCGATGCAGCTGGGATGAGATCTTGGAAAACCTAGTTCAGGTTTGCCAAAATAATCTGAATGGCACTTTGGAGTTGGGCTCAGCTCGCTCCGATCTGTCCCGTGCATTTTTCATTCATTTGAAGACAGCACATTTTGAATGCAACTCAACTGTGCGGATGCACCTTTTCAAAAGCCTGCACTCTTCAAAACATGCACTTAAACGACGTTTCTTTATGTGTGCTGCTTAAAAGTCCGCATTTTAAAAAGTGCCCTCTTTGCAAATCGAAGTCCAAGTTTGGGAAATGCAAGCTGCAATGAAGGTCCCACATATGGCTGGTGTTATGAATGGGGTGTTTGTGCATGATTTCTGAACGGCAGTGAGATTTGTGTAGCTCTGTTAGCTTGAGGGGGCGGAGCTTCTGCTTCATGCACGGGGCATGTATGGCGTCCTTTATGGTCCTGTAAAGACATTCATGAAAGGTCTCCTGAATGTCAGGCACTAGCAAACTCAGATCCAGGAACTAGCAGCCGAGGAGCCAAGCAGGTGGGGGTCTCCTTAGTCTTATCCAGACACTTGAACTGCTGCTCCACCGGACTGGCCTCCCAGTTGCAGAACTCTCTCCTTGTACTGGGGTGGCAAATGGGCGCTGAGAGCCACTGCTGCCTCGCCTCGCCTCGCCTCGCCTCGCCTAAGACCTGCTTTGCCGCACCGCTGGAGAGGTCCGTGTTTCTCCGCAGGCTGGAAAGCGACTGGCTTTTATTTGCACAGCACAGGCGACATCCGTGGCACTTTTGCTGCTTCAGTTTTGACCACGGGGGTGATTTTTAAAAACCCTGCACATGGGACACCAGCACACCTGAGAAAATGTGTGATGCGAGCATTTCCCTTTGATACCGGGTGTTCCGTGAGGAGGGGATGGCTTGCTCGATCGATCGATTGGTAGCCACTTCCAGGGGAGGGCAAACTCTCGGCATGCCCTTGGAGCCAAGACTCCTTCCCTGCGTCTCCCCTCGATCGTTCACGGCCAGCGTGCAGAGCCAGCCTTTCTGCTCCCAGCCAGGTTTAGCTTTAGCACCCAGCAGGGAGGGTGTGCGTCAAGCATCCAGCCGAGCACCTGCGTGCAGCCCTGATCCGGCAGAAAGCTCTGCTGGGTACCTCAAAGGGGCATTTTCCTCCCATCTCAGTGCTGGCACTCCAGAGTTTCTCTGTAATGCAAAAACACGGAAAACACATGCCTTCTGTGGCTGGAGGCCATTCGTTTATCAATTATGGATCGATTCGAAACCTCCTTCCTCTTTAAGAGAGACAAAAATAAGTCTTGCTCATTATGTTCTTTTCCTAAAAGTCTAACAGCGTGTAGCCAGAACCATTTTGTATATGATCCTGGGTGGAACTGAAACAGATCTGGAATTAACAACCTACTTCCAGCCCTTTGGCAGGACTCATTTCGATTGAACTCTGCCAGGAAGGTTCATTTGAGTTCCCAAAGAGTTTAATTAACACCCGACACCTTTTCATGTGGATTCATAATTTTCTTATTGTATTAACAGCTTCATAATTGATTTACACTTTACACCCAGTTAATTCAACTTTTAGTTCAAAGCTGTACTTCAGTATTCGGTTTTATATGCTCACTGTTCAGGGAACAGAAGTGGAACAGGAGCGAAATGATTAAATCTTGACTTTGATCACAAGAACCCAGACTTTGAAATACATATTTTATATGCTATGTCCCTTGAACTCTTCCAGCTTGTTCAGAATGTATGACATCGGAATATTAGTTTGTCGTGCAAAATAGATTTTTATTCTTTGGGATTAACAGGGATTTTATTCAAAAAGATTGCCTATTTTGAAAGGGCTGCTCAGTGCCGAGGCTGCTTTTTGCAAAAGCACCTGTGCAAAAACACCTTTTTGAAAAAACCCCTTTCTGGTGCACGGCACCTGTTACTGAGTACAATATTTAATGTTCGCTGCAGCTGTCCTTTCCAAAGAAACGGCTTCAAAATGGAGAGTGGATTTAGGTTTTAGCTGGCATAGACTGAAGGGGTGGGGCTGTGCATTCTGCTCCAGAACTTAGTTTTGGGGTGGGGGGGTATCTCTCTTGCCCAGTATCTTTTCTGGATGCGGAGTTTTTGCTGCTGCCTCCACCCCTCAAGTAGCGATGCTTTTGGTTGCTTCCCTGGCTGCCGGAGAAAGACCGTGGGGGCTTTTCCACACTGGACGCCCATGGGAGGCGGTAGTTAGAGGATGGGAACTCTTCCAGCTCCCGCCAGCACAGACCAGTTGCTGGGTTAGGCTCCATGATACAGCTGCTACCATTAAGGGCATCACTGTTACAGGAGATTTTGCTCCGACCTTAGCAGAGTGCTGGAGAAGTCATCTCGCGGTGTACTCGGTGGTCGTGTCCCCAGCCCGGCTCGGCTCATTCCCAGTTTTCATCAAGGCTGCTGTAAAACAAAGTAATGCTCCGTGTTTTCTAAGTTCTGCTTTGCTTATTATTACTAACGGAGTACAGGGGAGAATAGGATTGCTGTGAGTTCTGTTCAGGGTGTTTTTTGTCATAGAACACACCGGAACGGCATTCCGGCACCTTTGTTTCCCATGGATTTTACAAAGTGATTTTGAATCTTAGCAGATCAGCAGCAAACGTCATTGACATAGTGCCTGCAGGCTGCTTTTGTGTCTGCTATCTGATAGTGAGATAGTGAGGGCGCTGCTCTCGGCTTTGGATGCTGCTCGGCTTTGGATGCTGCTCGGCTTGGGATTGGTGTGTGTGATCGCGCGCTTACTGCCGGCGACGTGAGTTCCGGCACCTTTTTTTTTTTTAAACAAAAAAGCACTGGCTATGTTGCCCTGAGGAAAACTGTCATGCAAACACGTTGGACTCAAAAAAATATTATTTAATGCACGTTAAAAGGTTCTCGTACTTGTACTGCTGCCTTCCCTATTTCCAGGCAGGGATGAATCTAACAGAAGCAGAACTAAAGAGCAAAATTTCTCTCTCCTCTTCTGAAGCCATGGGCCAGCCTTTCAAACCTCTCCTCCCTCAGTCAGGAGCCAATTGCCCCGGAGTATGAATTTATATTAATACACTGGTTTTTTCATTTGTGTCTCAGGGCCTGGGAACGGACGAAGACACGCTTATTGAGATCATCTGCTCACGGACAAACCAGGAGCTCGCCGTGATTAACAAAGTTTACAAGGAAAGTAAGTTGGCTAGGCATCAAGGTGGAATTGCTCCATTTTCTTCTTTGAACTAGCAGAGTCGAACCCCTTGAAAATTTACACAATGATATTCCAACAGCCATGGAAAGTGTGTGGTGAGCGCAAGAAAGATTTCACGAGTGCTGTTGTGTTTTCCAGACAAGGAAGAGGGGGCAAAACATGGCAAAGAGATGCATGGAAATGTTTAAAGAAAAATGCAAAATGTCCATGCATTTTGGCCAACACCTTCTTCTGGGCAATGACTGTCATGCACTGATTACAATGCATCTTGTCACGGGGGCCATCCTCAGTTCTCATAAAATAATATTCTTCGTGAAGGACACACAAAGGCAACTTCATTTTTTAAAATCAGCTAATCTATACATTACTGGTATGCAAATTAATGTTTTCAGTGAGCCCCATTCTGCACTGGGCTTTCGTATGCAGCACACACACTTTTCCTGTCCTAAGCCCGGTTTCTGCTTTGGACAAATGGCCTTAAGCTTCCAGAGGGGAAGCATATCCCACCGATGAGGTTGGTGCTTACTTCTGAGTAGGCCTGTGAAAGATTGCCCTGTCAGTTTTTGCCAGCAAAAAAAAAAAAAAAAAAAGAATCATGTGGCTTTTAAGGTACCAGAAGATGCTTTATTTTTACTTATTGTTTGTTTCGGTTGTCCACTTGAGGTTCTTCAAACCTAGGAGAAGGCTAGAACCAAAAGCTCAGGTCCGATATAAGGACAAGCCATGGTCGCTATATCTGTGAAAACAAGCCCGCATGAGATTAGGGGTTACATATTCCCTCATGGTTTGTTCCTAGCTTATTTCACCTTCCTGCGGTTGCAACAAACCATGGTTCCTTGACTTTGGCTGTAATGGGCAACCGTGGTTCCAAGGTGACAGAGGAAACCTCTGGTCCCCCTCACTCCCGTGTGCAGCAGGGCTGAAGGGCCCCTTCAGTGCCAAAGAAAGCAGGATTTCAGCATACCTCTGAGCGGGGTTTGCACACTTAAGTGCAACACAGGGCTGCTTCCTTGCTTCTTACACAACTGCTTCTACTTTTTAGTGTACAAGACTGAGCTGGAAAAAGACATCATCTCTGACACATCCGGTGATTTCCGCAAGCTGATGGTAGCGCTGGCCAAGGTAGGACTCTCGCCCTCTGACCCTCTGGTCCCCTGCCTGCTTGGACTTTTTTGGAGCGGGGCGGATCGTTTTCACGGATCATTGCTGTGTCCCTTGCGTCTAATTAGGGGTGGGAAGCCACAATGATGGGCTTGCACAGTAAATGACGCAGAAGGCAAAGGGCTGATCGTGGAATTGGAGGCGGCATGTAGCAAAGTCCATATTCCCCCGACGGCTCTTCAGCCTAGCAGCGCAGAGGAGGCAGTGCGGGATGTCCTGGGTGAAGCATTTCATGGCTGTGCCCGGAAAAGGCCTTCTCTCAGTGGCGTCTGTTCTTGCCTCACAGGGGAGGAGGAACGAGGACACGTCTGTGGTGAATTACGAGCTCATCGACCAGGATGCTCGGGTAGGTGGTGCTGGTTGTCCCCGGCCGATCGTGGCTCACACCGCTCCAGAATGCCCCCGAAACTCCAGGGGTTGGCCAGGCGAGGAGGACCATTGCTCAGGCCATCTCAGCCACATTTTTATCCCAGCCATTACCTTTCCCCTCAAATGGATGACCATCTAGGCGTCTCTTCCATGTCCCACAGTTGCCCACCAGGTGTCTCCAGGAAGCTCCCCTGCCGAACACAGGTGCAACAGCTGCTGCTTCCCCTCGCAGCCGATGTGGGGAGGCAGCCTGTCCTCCATCGGTGGGCCTAAGCCCCCCATGGAAGTGTGCATTGCCACACCTGGCAGCCGCAAGCCCCGCAAGTGACATGTCCCGGAATGTGTCACAGTCTCATTGGTGACCTTCGATTCCGATAGGGCCATGGAAGGATAGACCTTGTTCAGCTTTTGGCTGCACCACGCATAATTAAAGCCAGGCAGACCCTGCTGCATCTGCCATTCCCCACCCCATAAGCCCCAAAGGCCCGCCTTGTTTGGCATCAAAGCAGATCACGGAGCTGGAAACCAAGGCAGCTTTCGATGGGTTGGAGGCTTTCAGAGACTTGCCGTGTGACGTCTGGTAGCCGTCCCACAGGTCTGTTGGGGTGGTGAACCTGTGGCCCTCCAGATGTTTTCCAGACACAGCTCCCATCATCCCAGGGCATTGGCCGAGCTGGCTGGGAGTCCAGCGACATCCGGATGGCCACAGGTTCCCCACCCTTGGGTTGCATGTGGGGAACTCCTTCGGGTGGGACACGTTCCCATTGGTGTGGATGCTACTGCTCAGGCCAAGTGGCTGAGGTATGGCCCCTTTCTGCACCCCTGCAGGATCTGTATGATGCTGGCGTGAAGAGGAAGGGCACCGACGTTCCCAAGTGGATCAACATCATGACCGAGAGAAGCATTCCCCACCTTCAGAAAGGTAACCAGAACCCAGGGCCAGTCCTACCACGAGGCAGAGTGAAAGAGGGGCTTCAGGCAGCAGATGCTGGGAGGCGGCAGCAAAGTGCTGGAGGCGGAAACCGCGTGGCTTGCTCTGCATGCCCTCAGTTAGCCAGCGGCTTCCGTGGCTGTGGACGAGGCACTCAACTTGCCAGTCCAACTCTTGCAGTCCAAATGGCTCTCTGACAAGCAGTGGGGGCTCAGCCAAAGGAGTCCCTGAGCAAAATTGGCCCCCCAGAGTGCCTTCCCTCGGGCTCCTTCCCTTCTCTGGCCGCACAACACTGAAGAACCGAAGCTGCCAGGGCCTGGGTGCCAGTTTCGTTTTCTTCCCGGTCCTGCAAAATCGCAGCAGCGACTCCTCGGGGCCTGTGCTCTTCACCCCTTCCAGTGCCCCTGCAGCCCCCCCTGACCTTCCTGTTCTGTTCCCTGACCTTGACAGTGTTCGAGAGGTACAAGAGCTACAGCCCCTACGACATGCTGGAAAGCATCAAGAAGGAGGTGAAAGGGGACCTGGAAAACGCCTTCCTGAACCTCGGTGAGTGAGCCTGGCAGGGCGAGGCGGGGAGGCCGGGCAGCTGGGGGCGCTCTGCGGTATTCGGCTGACACCTCCCAGCCTGGTCCCCCCTGTTACGTCATTGCTATTGCCCTGCCTTTGTATCGTGGCTTCCTCCCTCTCGTGGGGCCCCAGGCAGCTGGCGAGCGTCTCTCCCTCTCCCTTTCACCCTCTCCACAACGACCCAGCTGGGCTGAGAGTCCGTGACTGGCCCAGGGTTGCCCAGTGGCCGCCCTGGCTGAGCCGGGGCTTGCGTCCGGGTCGCCCGGCCCAGTGCTGCACTGGCCGGCGCGTGGTTGGCAGGCGTGCTTGGTGGTGGTGTCGCACGGTGCATTTTCCACACCAGGGCGCGGGGGAAGTGGTGGGTCTCCCCTCTCAGATAAGCGAAGGAGCTCGTTCAGGTTTCACTGTGCTCTGCAGCCAGTTAGCACAGCGACAGTCAACGGATGCTTGCTTGCTGATTTATGTTACCGATCTTGCCGATAGTCAAAGCACTGTGGGTGGTTCGTGGCGACACATAATAATTAACATAGAAACATAGAAACGGAGCGAGTCAGAAGGGGACTCCTGGGACATCTAGTCTGACCCCCAGCTCCAGCTGGCTCCTTTCATGACACGCCTACCATGTGCATGTCCAGCCTGTCCTTGAGCACCCTCACTGATGGGGCCTCAACCACCTCCCGTGGAAGCCCATTCCACACCGTCGGGGTCCTGACTGTCAGGAAGTGCTTCCTGGCATCCAAATGGAACCTGGGTTCCCTGAGCTTTGCTCCGTTGGAGCACATCCTGCCCTCTTAAATCTAACCCTTAATATCCAGCCTCTGCTTGATGCTTTCCATCCTTTCCCTTGACCAAGTTCCTACTTCAGGCTACTGGTTTGCCTTCTTACAAGGAAGAGTCACTTTCCAGTCGGCTTAACATTTAGTGGAAGCTCAGCGTGTTTTCCAAGTTGAGATTTGGTGTCACAAAAGAGAGCCAGTGAGTTTAGTGGAATTTATTCCCTGCAGTCCAAGATGTGGATGATTCGTGCGTGCTGTGCTAAATCCGCCCCACTAACCTGCGGCTCTTTGGATGTCTTGGACTTCAAGTCCCATCAGCCCCTGTCAGCATGACTCATGGTCTGAAACATCTGGCAGGCACCAGCCTTGGGAGGCCTCTGCTAAATACTGCTGCATTTTGGCTGGGGAAATGCCTAGTCTCGAGGCCCAAAATAAATATTAGAATTTGGACCTTGGATTTTAGGGGTCCGTCATCCGTTGAATCTCTCCAGGATTGCGTGCCAGGATCCTCTGACTGGGATCCGCTTCCAGCAAAACTTCCCACCCTTCCTTTGCTCGTTGTGCAGCAGATCTCCACCTAATACCGATCTTTTTCCTCTTCCTAGTTCAGTGCATTCAGAACAAGCAGCTGTACTTCGCAGACCGGTTGTACGACTCCATGAAGGTAGAGCATCTGGAAGGCGAAGGGGCGTCATTCCCCGGGGAGCCCCCTTTCCGGTGCCGCTGGTGGGGGCAGGGCACCCGGAGGCACCCTCGATCCCAAGGGGTTTGTGTGGTGGGGGCCCAGAGGACGGCACCCGCCGCCTCCCGCCGGCCACTCCTCTTTCACTGGGGCCGAGCCGAGACATTTTGGCAACACGTTGGCAATATGTGTGTGGAATCAGTCAGGGGATCCCCCTCACCCCGGCCGGTACTTTCTAGATGTGTTGAACTGCAGCCCCCAACATGATGCTGGGAATTGGTCGTCCGTTGTATCTGGAGTGCCCCAGATTGGAGAAAGTTAGATTAGTTCACTGGTTAAAGGCAGGCAATGACGACAATGGTAGAAATCAAGAGAAAACCTTGGCATTGTTGCTGTTTCATTTCTGTACCACTGAATATTAGGACAGTGTTGGATTTCTCCTCCCTCCTCCCCTCCCTTCCTCTTGCCTTGCCTTGCCTTGCCTTCTCCCCTCCCCTCCCCTCCCCTCCCCTCTCGCCTTGCCTTCTTCCCTCCCCTCCCCTCCCCTCCCCTC